CCTTGGGGGGGGGGGGGGGGGGGTTGGGGTGGGGGTTATGGCAGCGTGGTGATGTTGGCTGACGACTACGTCCGTAAACTTCCGGTCTGCGCACACTCCTTCCACGTTGACTGTATAGATATATGGCTTAGGTCACACGCTAATTACCCCCTCTGCCGCGCCGGAGTATTTAGTAAGGATTCACAGTGTACTCCATTAATGGCCGCCAGGATTAGACCTAGCCTCGACGACATAATAATCGAGACCACAATTCTGGAACCTCTAACGGAAATCTCGATGGAATCGGATCCGATAGCAGAGGGAGAAATCAGTCAGGAGCAATCACTGAGGCGGAGCCACCAATCGAAGGACATATTCAACCATCACAGATCTAGGGTTTGGGGGAGGAGATCTACGGTTTGGTGGCGGATCTAAGATTTTTCGATTCCATGTCTATAGATGTCTATGAGTATCTATGGGTGTCTATGGTGTCTGACGGCTAGGGTTTCAAAGGAGGAATTAGGGTTTTAAGAATACGTGACTACGGATTACTACAGTTTTCTACGAGTGTCTATACATGACTATGGACTACTACTATGGGTTTCTATAGAAGACTACGGCCGAAAAAAATAAAAAAAAAACATAATTTTCAATAGTACGTAGAAGAAAAGGAAAAAATACGAAAATGCAAAAAAAAAATGTTCTACAGAAAAAAATAATAACAAAAATGCTAAATGCGAAAATAAAAATGTTAAATGGAGAATGAAAAAATGATAAATACAGTTTAAATTTTACTTGGTGCATATTTCATTTTTTGTATGTGGGGGCATTATTGGAATGAAATTTATAAAGGATGTGAATCTAATGTTTAGTTAGACTTGTCATTTAGTTCTAATATGTTTTCTCACCAGGGACCTATATCTTAAAGCCCCTTAAAATTAAGGGGCCAAATAGAGTTTCAGAAATTTTGCTGAAACTAAAAGAGGTTAAATTGCAAATTTCCAGAATTTAATTAAAGAAAAGAAAAAAATCATCATCCTCCCAACACCGCTCCACCGCCTAAACCATCTCTGGCGCCATTTTTTAACAGCCCACCGCCCAACTCATATCTTCTTTATTCAACGGCCCACCCCCCTAGATTTAATCACGATGATTCCTTTTGCGGAAATTGCATAAATTGCAGAAACCTTAGTTCCTTAAATCGGTGAGTTTTGTTCAATTTGACATACTTATACATAATTCAAAAGATTTAGGACCAAATTGCAATTTTTAGAAATCATGCTATGTATCTAGTTTCCCCAACCACCAATCCCCAGATGTAATACAATTTGACTTGTTTATACATAATTCAAAAGGTTTAGGACCAAACTGCAATTTTCATAAATCATGATTTGCATCCAGTTTCTCCAACCACCAATACCCAGAAATAAATTCGACTTGCTCATACATAATTCAAAAGATTTAGGACCAAATTGCAATTTTAAGAAATTATGCTCTTTATCTATAGTTTATCCAGCCAGGTTTAAGCTATAGATGAATTAAAGGGTGAAAAGATTGGATGTGCATTTAATAATTATTTGAAAGGATTAGCTTAGCCATAATTAGTTTCTTGAAAAATTAACAGAATTAATTAGAGACCACAAGACTTTAAGTAAATAAAGATCATTACATCGCTTAGGAAAATAAATTCTTAAGAATAAGACGTCCAAGATTATTACAAACATATATAGTACAACAAAATCTACATATATAGTAAGTACACTCCATATTTGGATTCAACAAAACGAAAAGTCGAATGTTTCTAAAAGGGACAAAAAAGGAAAAAATGACCCGATTTATAACAAGAGCATTAACATTCATACGAGCTAGTCCGTCGTGTTGCTATATTTTGTTTTCCTATCATTAGCTTTTTTATCCTAAGACCCAATTTGAGGTGTTAGAAAGATTCGATAATATTAGAATGTTTCTAGCACCTCAAATTCAGTCTTTGATGATAGGAAAACAAAAGTAGCAACGAAGCAAAACTAAATCCGCATTAAGAACCATTAACCAATCTCATATATATATTTTCATAGCTGGAGGCTCAAGAATTCCGTCGTCATTTTTTACCATTTTGCCACATACCAACGAGGGAGATCAGTGTTGATTATGAGGTGGATTGACGGGCCGGGGAAGAAACCTGTTGTTTGCAAAAGCGTGTGAGAAATATGAAGAAAGGCTGATTCGTCTTTGTGGAATTCGGCTCGGCATTTTTTGGATTCGCTTGGTAGCTTCT